CACATTGGAGTCCGAGTCCGCCGAGGTGGGCCGGCAAAAGCGCGAGGCGTCGGGCGGCAGCGACTTCGGGATCTCGGTGTGTGAATTCAAGATTTTCTGTTTATTGCAAAAATGCGAGGCTACACGCAGATGACAGACTTGCAGAGGTTTTGGACGAGTTGAACCATTGTCAATGGGATGTCGTGCTATTCAGCGAGACGCGTCGGAACTCCGACCATTGAAAACTTGCACGTGGTCACAAGTTCTATTCATCATCGCAGCAAACAATTGCTGCGGGTGTTGCCATTCTTGTGATTCGTCGTTTACTGCATGGTGTGACTCGAGTACACGCAATCAGTGACCGCCTGATGTTCCTCGAGGTTTATTTTGGGACCCGCCTATGCAGATTGATTTCCGTTTACATGCCACATGCAGGATATCCACATGATGATTTGTGCAAAGTGTATGATCAGCTTCACTGGATTTCGGCCGATGCACAGAGGAAGAAGTATGCTGTCGTGATTGGTGGCGATTTCAAGACGCAGTGGAATGCGCGACCAGCTCCGAAAATTATGTTGTGAAACCGCTGGACCAGTTGACGTGCTTGATTTGGGGTCGGATCACCGTGCAATCAATTGCAGTTTATGCTTACGAACACGTTGTTTCAAAGGTCTTGGAAACCAGTGAGTGTGCCCCGTGGTTGGATGCCATGCAATCAACAGCCATATCATGCCAGTTTGCAGATGCGGTTGTCGAACCAACAACCCAACACCATCACGGAGCTTGCACGTTTGGTGCATGCCGCAGCTATTTCGTCCATGAAGTGTGAACGCTCGAGACTTGCTGAACCGTGGGAACAAGACGATTCTCAACATCTTTCGCAGCAGAGACAGTCATCACGAGATGCGACGGAGAGGCGGGCACTTTCCAAGCAAATCCGCAAAAAAAAACTACAGTCTTTTCAGCGTCAACAGCAGAATCAGAAGATCACTGCGACCTTGGAACAATTCCAAGATCTTTTTTTTTTTCGGGACCTTTTTACGCCCGCGCGGTAGGAGAGGTCCTCCACTTGTCAGCTCACGG